GGGACCCTCTGTTGTGATCCCTGTCAGAGCAGTCAGTGGTGGTAGCCAGGCACCATCTAGTTGTACTGGACTCAGTCTGGTGGAGGCCGTGGTAGTTGTGGTCCATTTGTTCTTTGGACTGGTCTTTCCCTTGTATCGTGTTCTCTTCATTCTCCCTTGCTCCAGACAGGATGAGACCCGTGGAGGATCTTAGCTGGTTGCTCACAGGCTTTTAAGACCCCAGATGCTACTCACCAAGGTAGAATGTAGAACACTGTGTTTATAAACTGTTATGCCAGTTGAGCTAGATGTTCCCCGAGACCATGGTCCCCACAGCCCTCTGCCCAGCAATTTGGTCTCTCACAGAGTTTGGGTGTGTCTATGGAGTTTCCATGATCTTTCCTTGTACAAGTTGTGCTGGCTTCCCCAGTATTGTGTGCTGTCATACCCTTCACCAAAGTTACCACTTATCTAATGTCTATTTAGTATTCCCCCCCCACCCCTCCCATCCTTTGTAACCATCAAAGATGATTTCTTTTTGTACATACTACATTTTAAAGAAAACTTTTTTCATTATTACGAAAAAAAAAAAATGGAAAATATGTCATTAAAATTCTAAAATATTGGCTACATATTGAAATTAAAATATTTTGGATATATTGGGTAAAATAAAATAGGTTATTAAAGTTAATTTCACCTGTTTCTTTTTACTTTTTAATGTGGCTATGAGAAAACTTAAAATTACATTCCTGACTCTCATGTTTCTGTTGTATAGCACTGATCAGTTTTCTAGGGTCTTTTAATTCCAAGGCATAGAATTAATCCAGAACTAAGAAAACAGAGACTTGAAATCTTCAAAAGAAGGTGACTGGCCACAAATCCTGAACCTGGTGTGATATCTGAGATGACTGCATGGGCTTCTTCATGCCTTAGTCAGGCTTTCACCAAGAGACAGAAACCACACAGTAATGGAACAGGGAAAGCTCAATATGAAGAATTAGTAACTTGTAACATGGGATTAGCTACTCGGGGGTAAAGAGAACTCTAAAGAATATAGGAAGAGCAGATAATGGGAACAGCCACTACCTCTAGGGGTAAGGCAGAGCACCTTAGGAGGAATAAATTTAGAAGAGGGGCCCCTTCCTCACCCTGGGGCTGAGAGATCCCCGCCTCACTGGAGAGGTGTGGCCTTGGCCCAGTGATGTTAGAGAAGTTGGTTGAAATCATTCAGGCTGGGTAGCGGAGGCCACCCACGTGGTGATAGCAGAATTCTCTGGGAAGCTGCCCTCTTGGTGCCTTGGAACTTGCTGGGAGTGATGTTGGGTGGTCTGCATGCTGAAAGTTTGAAATCACAGAACAACCAGGAAGAGCACGAAGACCAGGGGGAGGTTCCCTTCCTCCTAGCTGTCCACCAGCATCCTCTGCTAACAAAGCTCAGCATCATGCCAGCTGGCAAAGAAGAAATGTTTACAGGTGCAGCTCCCGTGTCATAAAGCAGGGCAGGAAGGATGGGTTTGGACTGAGAGGCAAAAAGCTGACACCGGCACACTCTGTGGTGTACTGTCACTGTGTCAGGTGTTCTATTTTTTTATCCAAAAATCTAGATAGTTTGGAACCAAAATACAGTATTTAAAAATTGGACTGTCCAAGAAAATTCAGGACATGAAGTCGCCATACCCCAAATATTCTAGTTAAATGAAAGTCTTTCATTTTAAAGGATCTGAGAAAGATTGCTTATCTTTTCTTGAGTTCTGTTTTCTACTCTCTTTATATTTTAAGGAATATTAAATAGGAGGTGGCCAGATTCCGTATAAATGTCGTCTTGCGTTTGCTTCTTTCGTGTACATTTTACTTACTGCTTTGTTTATTCCTGATAGTGTTTGACTACAGTTACAGAGATTACATTCTCTCCTGGTATGGGAAACTCAGCAGAGATGAGGGACAGCTTTATCATCTGCTCTCAGAAGATTTTTGGGAAATTGCCAAACAGCTGCGCCACAGACTGAGTCACGTGGATATGGTTAAAGTTGTCTGCAGTGACGTTGTGAGAACTTTACTCACGCATTTCTGTGATCTGAAAGCTGCTAATACCAGGTAACTGCTACAGTCTGAGCAAAACGTCCCCCTTTTTCCGCATTAAAGTATTTTTCTTATTAAACAAGGGGTCAAAGTTAAGACAAATCTGCCTCTTGGCTGGCACTTGCCTTGAAAATATAAAGACATATTGAAGGGGGATAATTATAGTGTTGTGTTAGGTAGGTTGTTGTATATACTTTCTGATAGTAAACGACTTTATAGGCACTTTTATTTTGTAAACAACTTAAACAGTGCTTCGGTATAGAAAATTTAAGTATGGTATTTTATTCTGTGAACAGTGTCAATTAGTTGACAATTTTTAGAAAAATTTGCATATAGTTCATGTTTATTTGTTTTTTTGTGAGTCCTGTATTAAGAGATCTGTTGCATGACAATATCCTGAAAGTCAGTTTTTAAAAGGAGCCTAATATTGGAGCTTGTGGGTTGTACTTAGAGAAGATACTTCAGTGTGAAAATAGCTAATATTCAGGCATGTTGGCCCTGTGTGCTATTACATTTGAAAAGGGTTTGTCTGTGCCTCTTAGATGAATCTGCCTTTGGAAGAAGACTTAACAAGGCTATTAGTGTCACTTATAGCAAATTCCCACTTTCTTAGGTTTGTTGACAGGATCTTAAACGCATATCTTATTATTCTTAAATACGTACGAAGGTGATGAATTGTAGCGCTTTTAACTTGTGTATAAAAAGTAGTCTTATGGAAATGAGTATAACCAAAAAACCAAACCCATTGCTGTCAAGTGATTTCTTCCCTATAGGAGCAGTTGAACTGCCCCATAAGTTTTCCAGTGAGCAGCTGGTGGATTTGAACTGCCGACCTTTTGGTTAGCAGCTGTAGCTGTTAACCATCGTGCCACCAGGGCTCCATGGAAATGGGTGTATTTCTGCTATACAGTGAGGTTTGGACGGGACTACCTACAGTCAAAACATGTCCTATTTCCACTGATATTAGTAGCCTCTACTTTCAGAGAAGAGAAAGTACATGAAAACTACATAAGGGAATGAGTAAGCGTTGGCATTTTCTTGGGCAGATGATAGCCCATATTCTCTTCTAACGGGCCCTGTTGTGTGCATCTGTCCAAAAGTAGTTCCTGTTCTGTGCTGTGAGGTTGCTCTTGCAGTGACCTGGTTGCTGGGTGTGCAGCAGATCTCCACTTTCAACTTTGCCGCCTCTGTCCCTGAATTGTCTTCTCTCCTGATACCTGCCTGTCTCAGGCTCATGAGACCCATCGGATGCCCACTCTTTTCCAGCTTCTTGTCTCTGCAAATCAGCATTTTGCAAACTTTTTTTTTTTTTTGGACACAGTTTCATAAGACAATACTCTTACTACCTGTAATAATTTTGATATTTTTTTGTCCTTTATGATTTTTTAAAATGCTTTTTGAGACCAACTAAACTAATTTTGTTCCTGGTGGGTCACAGCCCATGGTTTGTAAAATACTACTGTAGGGCAGTGGTTCTTAGACTTTTTGATCACAGGATCCCTCTACACTCTTAAAATTATTGAGAACCTCAAAGAACTTTCGTTTGTGTGGGTTGTATGTAGTAATGTGCTGGATCCAGCTTGCACTGGCCTGTAAGAGCTGTGTACATCTCTTCCAAAGTCTGAGTTCAGTGATAACACTGTGGTAGCTTGGGAGTATTTATACTACAGAAGTTACAAATGCTATAAATCAGAGCTTTTATTTTTTCCCTTGGAGAGAAAGCAGCTAAATATTTACCTGCGCACAACTTAATGATATTTACTGTATTAGAAATTAAAACTAAGAACAGTTTAAAGTACAGGGATACACGGTATGCTTTCAGTTAGCCACCAGAGCAGTGCTATCCGCACATCGTGGAGCTTCTGGAAGACTTCACTCTGTGCATGTGAGCATGAGAGTGAAAAAGACAGGAACGTTCTCCTGTTAGTGTGAGGAGGATGTTGACCTCAGAGAAAAAGACAGGAACATTCTCCTGTTAGTGTGAGAAGGATGTTGACCTCAGAGAAAAAGACAGGAACGTTCTCCTGTGAGTGTGAGGAGGATGTTGCCCTCAGAGAAAAAGACAGGAATGTTCTCGTGTGAGTGTGAGGAGGATGTTGACCTCAGAGAAAAAGACAGGAACATTCTCCTGTGAGTGTGAGGAGGATGTTGACCTCAGAGAAAAAGACAGTAACGTTCTCCTGTTAGTATGAGGAGAGTGTTGACCTCAGAGAAAAAGACAGGAACGTTCTCCTGTTAGTATGAGGAGGATGTTGACCTCAGAGACTCCCTGACAGAGTCTTGCAACTGCTAGGGTTCCCCACACAATCCTTTGAAAACGGCTACTTGTAGAGAAAGTAACTTCCAGTAAGGGGGTACGGGTATGAATAAGGAAAGTGAGAAAAATAGGACTCCTGAGTTATCTCCCTATAGTCTCAAAAGCTTCAGCCTCTCCTTTCAGAAAGTTCATCAACCCCTTGGAAAACCCGTTGCCATTGACTTGGTTCTGACTCATAGCGACCCTATAGGACAGAGTAGAACTGCCCCATAGGGTTTCCAAGGAGCGGCTGGTGGATTCGAATTTCCAGCCTTTTGGTTAGCAGCCAAGCTCTTAACCACTGCGCCACCAGGGCTCCACCTGCTAATTTGCTGTGGCATTATTATATAAAATGTTCCATGGTTCTGCCTGACAGACTCTGTCAAAGACTGAATTCAGTTAAAGGCTCATTTTAAAGTAAGCTATTTAAATTACAGTCTAATCAAGGACAGTATTTTATATCAATGCCTTATTCCAGGTTGATGACTGATAGATTTAGGTTTGGGAGAAGAGCAAGTGGTTGGAGGAAATTTAGTGCTTCCATGATAATCTAATTTCTATATGAGAATATAGTTTTCATTGAGACATTTACCGTCTCTGGAATTGCTGCATTTGTGGACAGTATAAATATAGTGTTTGTAGGGAAAGCATCAGAATAATGGAACAGAACTAACTCCATATCAGAAGTCCTTCTCTTTGGGCTTCTAGTTTTCTTATTCCACGGGTAGATATATTCTACTAATATCTAATATCTATGCTATGCCTGCATGACGCAGGTTGTTAATCTGTCATCTTCGATGTGCAGATGACACAACCTGCCTTGCTGAAAGTGAAGAGGACTTGAAGCACTTACAGATGAAGATCAAAGACTACAGCCTTCAATGTGGCTTACACCTCAACCTAAAGAAAACAAAACTCCTCACAACTGGACTAATAAGCAACATCATGATAAATGGAGGAAAGACTGAAGTTGTCAAGGATTTCATTATACTTGGATTCAAAATCAATGCCTGTGGAAGCAGCGGTGACGAAATCAAACAACATGTTGCATCGGGCAAATCTGCTGCAAAACACCTTTAAACTGTTAAAAAGCAAAGGTGTCACTTTGAGGACTGAGGTGCTCCTGACCCAAGCCGAGGTATTTTCAATCGCCTCATAGGCATGTGAAAGCTGGACAATGAATAAGGAAAACGGAAGAAGAATTGATGTATTTGAATTATGGTGTTAGTGAAGAGTACTGAATATACCATGGACTGCCAGAAAAATGAACAAATCTGTCTTGGAAGAAGTACAGGCAGAATGCTCCTTAGAGGTGAGAATGGCGAGACTTCGTCTTACGTACTTTGGACATGTTATCAGGAGAGATCAGTCCTTGGAATGAACATCATGCTTGGTAAAGCGAAAAAGAAGAAGACCCTCGATGAGATGCACTGACACAGTGACTGCGACAGTGGGCTGAACACAGCAACGATTGTGAGGATGGCGCAGACCGGACAGTGTTTGTACCCGGGGTCGCTGTGAGTTGGATCTGACTCAGCAGCACCCAACAACAGCAACAACAGGCTATACCTAGAAGCTCTACTTGATGATTATTATTAAGAAAAAAATCTACCACTCTTCTCTGGGATTATGGGTATTTAAAGACGTGCCACTAGGTCACTGGTGTTTTGCATATAGATGATTGTGCCCTGGAGGTGAGCTCCGGAGAGCTAGTGTTTGATAGTGCATCATCTTATACAAAGCACACAGTGAGACTAGCATACAGTGAGGATAGGGTTGATGGCTATATCTGTCTCCCTTCTCCAAGTAAACAGTGCCCTCAGCCTAGGAATCTCCATTGGTGTGCAGAGTTTTCAGCTGCAAAATGATTATAGCAGCCTTAGCGTCACCAAATTGAATTGGCCACTGTCAGACACGAGAGTAATAAATTGCATCAATAAAAGCAACACATCCTCTGGGTGACTGTTATGCAGTTGTGTGGAGGCAGCTTTCCGGTCAGCCTGTATTTATTTCCAGGGCCGCCATGCTGTTGCCGCTTTAAGCCAATCCAGATCACATTTAATTCTTGCCTTTGTTTCCTCTTCCTTGTCCCAACTGTCTTGTTTCAGGGAAATCTTAAAATGAGTGTTTTTATACTATTAGATCAATTTAAAAAAAAAAAAACAAACTGTTGCTGTCCAGTTGATTCCGACTCATAGTGACCCTATAGGACAGAGCAGAACTGTTTCATAGAGTTTCCAAGGAATGCCTGGCGTATTTGAACTGCTGACCTTTTGGTTGGCAGCCGAACTCTTAACCCCTGTGCCACCAGGGCTCCGTTAGATCAATAGCATCTTTAATTTCATACTCTCCTTAAAATCTCTGCATCTTTTTTGTTTCAAGCGCTGGCACGCTGTTTAAGGGGAAAAAAGTGAATGTTTTTCTTCACATATTTTTCTTCTGCAATTTTTTCCCCTTTATCTTTGCAATCTCTGATTATGATGTAATTGAAAGAGCCTGGCCTTGACAGTCAGAACAGGATTTGAGAGCTATTTCTCTCCTCTGTGACTTGGACTTGTCACTTAGCCATTCAGACCCTTAATTTTCTCACAGACCAAATGGTTATGGTGATATCTCCTTCTTGATGTAGATGTGAAGATTAAGTAATATTACTCATATGAGACTTAGGGCCTTTTGTTCTATTGGGCAGGAGAACCCAGAGGTGAGTGTAGGAATTGCAGTACACAGATGATTGGTGCATGCCGGCAGAGGAAGGATGCTGCAGAGACTAGGACTCCAACCCACCAGAAGGCTAGACAGACATCTCCTGACCAAGAAGTAGTCACGGGCCTTGTGATCCTTTCTTGGCTCAATGTTCACTGTCTAGAGAGGGTCACAAGCATTTTGCTCGCGGTTAGCCCAGGGATTCCAGGGAAGCACTCACTTTTCCATCTTCCTTAAATCAAGCTTGTTTGACCGACCCTCTAGTTTTTGGCTTATCTGGAAGGTGAGCTCTAGGAGAGAAGGGAACCTGTGGCAGTTTGATGGCCAGGTTCCTTTTATTACCTGCCTTCTAGTGGGACAGAAAAGGGACTTTGTGCACTTTGAGGGGGATTTTCATGTTATTTAAATAAACTTCTTTTGTAAAAGTGGATATTTTTGGCCAACCTCCCCTAGTAAGTATTAACCAACTATTTTTTTTTTTTTAGAAGGAGCCTTCCTTGGTGGTTCAGTGGTTAAAGCACTCGGCTGCTAAACGCAAGGTCAGCAGTTTGAACCCACCAGCCACTCCGTGGGAGAAAGATGTGGCAATCTGCTTCCGTAAAGATTTAAGCCTTGGAATCCCTATGGGGCAGTTCTACTCAGTCCTATAGGGTCGCTATGAGTTGGAAGTGACTCGATGGCAGTGGGTTTGGTTTTTTATTTTTTTTAGTAAAGTATTACCCTTAAAAGTGCTTGACATGCCAAAGGAATAGCATCTCAGTCTTACTACATTAAAATATTAACTCTAACTGGCGGCATAGTTAGAGTTTAAAATAATTAATATTACCATTTTAAAAAGGCAGTACATATTAATGCGTGTGTAAAGACATACCGTTAAATTAAATCTCTTTTTGTAGTTGACTTTGTATATTAGGATTGAACTCTTATAGCTTGTCGTACAAGACAAAGAGAACCCATTTCTTTTCTGTGTACATACCCTAGAAACTAGTCTCTAGTCTCTGGTGCAATAACAGTATGCATTCACTTGTTTTATGCCCTTTCTAGTACCTAGTGTGGTTTCTCTGCAACTGCTTAGTGTTATTCCTCAGTATTGGTCACCAGTCACTCTAAGAATCCTTATATTTTGCCTCTATCTGGAAGAAATATTAGAAGAATTAGGTTCCCAGCTATCGTGGATTGAATTGTGTCCCCCAAAAGTATCAACTTGGCTGGGTCATGATTCCCAGTATTGTATGATAGTGTACCATTTTGTAATCTGATGTGATTTCCGTATGTGTTGTAAACTCTTTATCACTATGATGTAATAAGATGGATTAACAGCAGTTATACTGAAGAGGTCTACAAGATTAGATAGTGTCTTAAGCCAGTCTCTTGAGATATAAAAGAGAGAAGTGAGCAGAGAGACATGGGGACCTGATACCACCGAGAAAGCAGCTCTGGGAGCGGAGGGCGTCCTTGGGACCTGAGGTTCCTGCACTGAGATGCTCCCAGACCAAGTGAAAACTGATGAGAAGGCCAACTTAGAGAGAAAGGCTTTCCCTGGAGCTGATGCCCTGAATTTGGACTTGTACCCTACTAAACTGTGAGAAAATAAATTTCTCTTTGTTAAAGCCATCCACTTGTGGTATTTCTGTTATAGCAGCAATAGATGACTAAGACACCAGCCTTTCTTGAATTGCTGTCAAGATCCTGTGGGAACTACCATATGACCCAGCAGTTGCACCCTTAGAGACCAGAACGCAGCTACTCAAACCAAGAACTACCATATGACCCAGCAGTTCCTCCCTTAGAGACCTGAAAGCAGCTACTCAAACCGAGAGCTACCATATGATCCAGCAGTTCCTCCCTTAGAGACCTGAAAGCAGCTGTTCAAACAGAGAACTACCATATGATCCAGCAGTTCCTCCCTTAGAGAACTGAAAGCAGCTACCCCGACAGACACGTGTACCCCAGTGTTCATTGCAACACTGTTCGCATAGCCAGAAGGTGGAAACTACCAATGTCCGTCAGCAGATGAATGGGTAAACAAACTGGGGTACATACATACAATGGAATGTTAGCCATAAAGAGGAATGAAGCCATGATAACATACCACAACATGGATGAGTCTAGAAAACATCATGCTGAGGGAAATAAGTCAGTCACAGTAGGACAAATACTGTATGATTTCACTTATGTGAAATAAGCAAATACATAGAAACCTGAAATTATTACTGGTTGCCAGGGGTGTGAGAGGGGGTGGGAAAGAGAGAGTTTTTGCTTAGGGGGCAGTGAGTTTCTCTTAGTGATGGTGGAATGATCTGAAAAAGGATAGTGAGAATGGTTGCACAACTTCAAGAATGTAACCAATGTCATTGAATTGTACATGTAGAAATTGTTGAATTGGCGTATGTTTTGTTGTATATATTTTCACAATAATAATAATAAAGATGCCTGGGAAGGGGAGGTATAGAAAGTTCTTCTTTTTACTGCTTTTCACCCAGATCTTCCAAATGATTGGTCCTGGGTTGGAAGTGAGGTCAGGGAGGTCCATGACCAGGGTTGACAAGACTGGTTGGAAAACATCCGTGAGCCTCACAGAAGACAGTTGGCCATCAGGTTATGTGGCATCCAGTCACGGACCTTCTCCTCGCTAGAAATACCCTTAGACTTTTTACCCCAGGACCAGCCAGTCAGGAAAGCTGGCTGGTGACCCTGGTTAATACTTTGCTTGGTTGTTTTGAAAAATGAAGCTGTAGATCACATTTAAGGAAGAGATCTAGAAGACTTAAAAATAATCTAGTTAAAGACATACCTTTCTGGATTGTCGCTATGATTTGGGAGTTACCTTGAGATAGTTATCATCACTTGATTTGAAATCCTAAAAGGATGCTCCCTGTTATGTACCCTTTTTCCCCCTCCCTCCCACCCCAGGTAACCACTAATAATTTTTGGTTTCTGTATAAGTAGAATATATAAATATAATCATTTGCATTTATTCTAGGATAAGATTTTCAGATGATTCTGTGATTGAGGAAATTATTGATATTGCTGAGGAGGTGACACAATTATTAAAATCATATATTGAAATGCATACATTCTTTGTTTGTCCATTTGAAATAATTTTTACCTGATGGTATATAACTGAATTATTTCTAGAAATTTCTTTCCTTCCTCTTTTATTTATTGTTTTAGACATGAAGAACAGCCAAGGCCTTTTGTGCTTCATGCATGCTTGAGGAGCTCAGACGATGAAGTAAGATTCCTACAAACATGTTCTCGGGTTCTGGTGTTTTGTCTCCTCCCCTCAAAGGATGTCCGTCTCAGCTTACGTATAGTGCTTGCAGAAATTCTCACAACAAAAGGTAGACTTATAAAATTGATATTACTGATGCAGTGATAACTGTGCAAACTAATGTGCTTCATACTAATGTGATAACACTTTATATGACACCTGTGCAGACTTTCTATACTGTGGGACATGTGGGAATTACAGTCTTTTCACATTTTTAAGTTTAAATGTCACATCAAGAGAGTATCATTGGCCGTACATGCTAAGCTTAAATTTTTATGTAACAGATGGTCAAATGCACAATTCATTCTGTTGTTTATTTTGACACAGGAAAACTAGCCCTTATGCTCTCCACAGGGAAGCATCCATTTGGAATAGCTTTTGAGTTATCTAGGTTAATAATATATGCATTAATGAAACAGTTTTATATATTCAAACTCTGATGTAGCATTACATAAAATACCTTTGTTATAAGATTCATTGATAATGCCTATACATAATTTTGTGAACTTGGGATAAGTAAAAAAGGAACTATACTACAGTAAGGTTTTCACTGGCCAGTCTTTTTTGGAAGTAGATTGCCAGATCCTTCTCCTAGTCTGTCTTAGTTTAGAAGCTCTGCTGAAACCTGTCCACCATGGGTGACCGTGCTGGTATTTGAAATACTGGTGGCATAGCTTCTAGCATCACAACAACATGCAAGCCTCCATAGTACAACAAACTGAGACAAGTGGTGGAAACCAGTGAAAACCTTCTGAATAGCGGCGGAACATGGTTTGATAACACTGCTGTAAGATGAGCCCCTCAGGTTAGAAGGCACTCAAAATATGACCAAGGAAGATCCGCCTCCTCAAAGTAGAGTCGACCTTAATGACATGGATGGAGAAGTCTCCATGACTTTCATTTGCTGATGTGGCATGACTCAGAATGAGAAGAAACAGCTGCAAACATCCATTAGTAATCGGAACATGGAATGTACAAGGTATGAATCAAGGAAAATTGGAAGTTGTCAAAAGTGAAATGAAATGCTTGAAGGATGATATCCTAGGCATTAGTGAGCTGAAATGAACTGGTACTGGCCATTTTGAATCAGACAATCATTGGTCATTTTCAGTTGGACAATTGGGAATGACAAATTGAAGAGGAACGGTGTCACATTCACCGTCAGAATATTTCAAGATCTATCCTGAAGTACAGTGCTGTCAGTGATAGGATAATATCTGTAAGCCTACAGAGAAGACTAGTCGATACAACTATTATTCAAATTTACATACCAACCACTAATGCCAAAGATGAAGAAATTGAAGACTTTTACCAACTTCTGCCGTTTGAAATTAATCAAACATTCAGTCAAGATGCATTGATAACTATTGGTGATTGGAATGCAAAAGTTGGAAACAAAGAAGAAGGGTTAGTAGTTGGAAAATATGGCCTTGGTGATAGAAACAATGCCAGAGATCACATGATAGAATTCTGCAAAACCAGTAATTTATTCATTGGAAATACCTTTTTTTAACAGCATAAACGGCAGCTGTACATGTGGACCTCACAAAGTGGATTGCACAGGAATCAAACTGACTACATCTATGGAAAGAGATGATAGAGAAGCTCAATATCTTCAGTCAGAATAAGGCCAGGGGCTGACAGTGGAACAGAACATCAGTTGCTCATATGCAAGTTCAAGTTGAAGCTGAAGAAAATTGAAACAAGTCCATGAGAGCCAAAGTATAACCTTGAGTATATCCCACCTGTATTTAGAGACCATCTCAAGAATAGATTTGACAGATTGAACACCAGTGACTGAAGACCAGACAAGTTGTGGGATGACATCAAAGACATCATACATGAAGAAAGCAAAAGGTCATTAAAAAGAAAGAAAAGACCAAGATGGATGTCAGAAGAGAGTCTGAAACTTGCTCTTGAACAAAGTGAATGGAAGAAACGATGAAATGAAAGAGCTGAACAGAAGATTTCAAAGGGTAGCTCAAGAAGACAGAGTAAAGTATTATAATGAAATGTGCAAAGACCTGGAGTTAGAAAACCAAAAGGGAAGAACACGCTTGGCATTTCTCAAGCTGAAAGAACTAAAGAAAAAAATTCAAGCCTCAAGTTACAATACTCGAGGATTCTATGGGTAAAATATTGAATGATGCAGGAAGCATCAAAAGAAGATAGAAGGCATACACAGAGTCACTGTACCAAGAGGGTTGATGTTCACCTGTTTAAGGAGGTAGTATGTGATCAAGAACCAGTGGTACTGAAGGAAGAAGTCCAAGCTGCACTGAAGGCAGTGGTGAAAAAAAATGGCTCCAGGAATTGACAGAATACCAATTGAGATGTCTCAACAAATAGATGCAATGCTGGAAGCGCTCAGTCATCTATGCCGAGAAATTTGGAGGACAGCTACCTGGCCAACTGAATGGAAGAGATCCATATACGTGTCCATTCTAAAGAAAGGTGATCCAACGGAATGCGAAAATTTTTGAACAATATCAGTAATATCACAGGCAAGTAAAATTTTGCTAAAGAGAATTCAAAAATGGTTGCAGCAATATATTGGCAGGGAACTGCTAGAAATTCAAGCTGGATTGAGAAGAAGATGTGATATGAGGGATATCACTGCTGATGTCAGATGGATACTGCCTGAAAGCAGAGAATACCAGAAAGATGTTCACCTGTGTTTTATTGACTATGCAAAGGCATTCAACTGTGTGGATTATCACAAATTGTGGAGAACATCGCAAAGGATGAGAATTCCAGAACACGTAATTGTACACATGCAGAACCTGTACGTAGACCAAGAGGCAGTTGTTCAAATAGAACAAGGGGATACTGTGTGGTTTAAAATCAGGAATGGTGTGCATCAAGGTTGTATCCTTTCACCATACCTATTCAATCTGTATGCTGAGCAAATAATCCAAGAAACTGGACTATATGATGAAGAATGTGGCAACAGGATTGAAGGAAGACTCATTAACAGTCTGTGATATGCAGTTGACACAACCTTGCTTGCTGAAAGTGAAGAGGATTTGAAGCATTTACTTATGAAGATCAAAGACTAGCAGTATAGATTACACCTCAACATAAAGAAAACAAAAATCCTCACAACTGGACCAATAAGTAACATCACGATGAACGGAGAAAAGATTGAAGTTGTCAAGGATTTCATTTTACTTAGATCCACAATCAACGCCTATGAATGCAGCCATCAAGAAATCAAACAGCATGTTGCATTGGGCAAATCTGCTGCAAAAGACCCCTTTAAATTGTTAAAAAGCAGAGATGTCACTTTAAGGAGTAACGTGTACCTGACTCAAGCCATGGTGTTTTCAGTTGCTTCATATGCATGCAAAAGCTGGACAATGAATGAATAAGGAAGACAGAAGAATTGATACATTTGAATTATGGTGTTGGTGAAGAATATTCAATATACCATGGGCTGCTAGAATAACAAACAAATCTGTGTTGGAAGAAGTACAGCCAGAATCCTCCTCAGAAGCGAGAATGGTGAGACTTCATCTCAAGTACTTTGGACGTGTTATCAGGAGGGACCGATCTCTGGAGGACGTCATGCTTGGTAAAGTAGAGGGTCAGTGAAAAAGAGAAAGACCCTCAAGATGGATTGACACAGTAGCTGCAACTGTGAGCTCAAACATAGTTACAATTGTGAGGATGGCACAGGACTGGGCAGTGTTTTGTTCTGTTGTACATAGGGTCGCTATGAGTTGAGACCGACTGGACGGTATCTAAGAACAATAAATCACAATATAATGCAATTACTAGAAGAAGTTAACTATTTCCAATGAAATGTTTAGCTAGGAGAAGAAAAATGGAAGAAAATATGACTTAAGAGAAACTATCTCAGAAAGAATTTTAAACAAATTACACTGCTTTTACGATGCAGTGATCACTTAATTATCTCATTTATCTAATAAATAATTATTTATTATTCCACTATTAGCCATCTGTGCCCAGTAGCCGACATAACCAAACACAGAGTGAAGGAGAACTTTCTAACCTAAAGTTAGTAAATGAATTTTTAGAAATGTCATCGACTTTTTAACAACTTCCTTCCTGTGGTCTGCTTTGACTAGTTGGAAGAATGTTGACTTTCTTCTTTGGTAGACTAAACCGGTCAAAACATAAAGAAATAAAAGAAAAAATCAGTGTAATTAATTTTGATAGATTTGTTAGCAGCTGGGGTTCCGAATGGCGTTTTTCATTCTTCCTTTCCGTTTAACCCTTGTGTTAAAATGACCACCTGAATGTAGCCATGGTTGGTAACATACCCAGAGGGCTGGGTGGCCTTTGGTGTGTGTGTATTTTTTGAATAATGGAATTGTTTGTAATTTCTCCCATTTGGGTAGTTTAAAATGTAGTTTCACTTATGTGCCTTGAAAAAAAAAATTCCTTAAAAGAAGACTTTCTTTTTCATTGGTGCTTTCTTTTTCCAACAGTCTTGAAGCCACTAGTGGAGTTGCTGAGTGATCCCGATTATATTAACCAAATGCTGCTCGCCCAGCTGGAATACAGAGAACAGATGAATGAACATCACAAGAGAGCCTACACCTATGCTCCTTCTTATGAGGAGTTCATCAAGCTGATTAACAGCAACTCTGATGTCGAATTCCTGAAGCAGCTAAGGTATTTGGTTTTTAATTATCACATGCCAATAGCTACTAATTATTATGCTAGTTAGATAGAAAAATGTGTTCAGGGAAGCAGAAATGAAGGAAGTTTGTAAATCCTCTCATTTAGTGACAACCAATTTAACCAGCTTCTTCTTTAGCAGTGGATTGCTTAGTTGTTTTCAAATTATTAGGCTATACTTGATTGAAAGCTGTTGAGTTGTTAGGAGTTCCTGCCTGGTTGGCTACTCAGATGTGTACCTTACAGAAGCCCTGGAAGGAGGTGATATTTTTATAATTACATCATAGAACATCTGCAGAAGCCTAGGTTTGGGAATAAGGGGCACTTGACTAACTGTTTTGACTAATTTGAAATATACTCCAGGAGTCTCTTTTATAGGGGAGCTCTGTCTCGGTTGTCATACTTGAGACATTTTAGGGTTGAGTGTGTGTGTTTTTATTTATTGTTTCTGTTAGTATGTACACATATATACAGTGTGACTGTACAGTGCTGTCTGGTTTGTGGATTTCTAGGCTTCTGCTTCTCTAACTTCCATTCTGTTTTAATATGCCCATCTGATAATACATGTGGAAGAGAGGAAATTCTAGTCTGTCAGTTTTGATTTTGATTAGTAATTTTGGTAAATCACTGATGTAAATGTAAAATATTGGCTTAAATTAAGTCTTCGGGCTAATTGGAGATTTGAGACTTAACCACATTTGCCTCTGAACTAGGGTCAACATTAAGGTGACTTATGTTGTTTAATTTTCTGATCTGAGTGATACGCTGTCTAAGAGGCGTACATTGTAGGTGACACTGTTCTTGTAAACTGTGTCATGTGTTTATGTGAGCACTGCAAATGTGTAGTGATGGATTCAGATGCATGGCTTTGTGTACAAATAATTTTTATTTCTTATGGGATTTAATCTCTGGATATTTTATTTATGCCTCTCTTTCTGTGCAGAATCTTGAATAGGCTATATGGCACTCCTGATTACTTACATCTGAATCCAGAAATTCTATTTTGATAAGTGTGACACTTGAGCTGATAGAGAACTCAAGAGCCAGTATCCCAGCATCTCCACCTGAGGCTTATACACCCACCCAAAGGTGGTCTGCCCATGGCCTCCTTTCACCCCTTTTGGAGTGTCATTCCATAGAAAGTGAAGAGCTCACAATGACAGAACATCGTTGTTGTCTCCTTCTTCTGTTAAAACTCTCAACACACACGCAAAGCTCTGCTTCTTGAGAGGCTAACTTTATCCAGAACTGTATTCCAATGTCCCTCTGCCTTGTACTTTTATGCCTACTTTTCCCAGACGTGCTGCATGTGGTCAGACCAAGGTAGCTTGAGGACTGCTCTGTAGAATTACTTCTTTTTAAAACCTTATAGATAACAACAGAAGGTTGTCTGATACTGTGCTAGAAGGTGAGCCCCTCAATGTCTTTTGAAGACATTGTTTATGAGCACATACCTTATGTTGGTAAATTGTGAATGCATTGAATTCCTAAGCATTTTTTTTTCCTTGCCTAAACAGTCTTATTTTATTGCAGCAAAGTCAGGTGTGAATTACTTTGTAACTCCATGAGAGTTTAAGATAACATAATCTAGGATCTATAGTGGCAGATACTTAAGTAAATGAGTATTCATTGCCTTTTAGATTGTGGACTAGGGTTCTGTTTTGTGTACCAAACAAAAGATTCCAACACTGCATACATGGTGAAATAGTAAATGGTGTAAGAAAAAGTCTCAAAAGAGAATTCTTATCAGAACTAATTGTTTTGAATGGTCAACTGTTGGTACTGTAGCACCAGCTGTCATTTTGTCCCTGAGCACAGTTCCTTTATTATAAGTTGAATGAATCTTAATAAGAATGGTTTATCTAGGAAGGCAACTAGAAACAACTTTGCAATAGCAGAGATTGATCTTTTTGCTTAAAAAGGTAGGTGATGCTACATAAATTATCTTCCTAGTTGACTATTTATTGTTTGTCTGATACAAAAATTGCTCTCTGGTCAAGGGTCAGGTCTGCTTACTGTTATTGACAGGTAAAATTGCTTTTTATTAGACTTCTGTCTGGAGCCTACACTGATGAGGCTTATCAGCCTCCTGACACTAATGGAGCTGCATTCTTCAATCAGAGTCTAAATTGTTTTGTGGTTTTTCTGGTACAGTTAGAGTACTCTGCTGTCTGACTTGATTAGCGTTTTAGGTCTCTGTCTTCAAATTGCTCCAGTAAAATTTTGGGATAGACTGCGTAAGGCAGGAAATATTTCTTTTTTAGATTAAGCAGTTTATGAAACCATTTACTTTTCTTTCATACGTATTTGGAAAATAAATGCATGTTTTCCAAAGGAAGCAAAGTCCTTCAACTCTACTAGACTGGAATGCATAAGAAGAATAAAAAACTCTTGAAGGCGGTTCTAGGGTAGTATGGTTATTTTCTGGATTGGCTTTAGATGCTTTCACAGTAGGATTATAGAGCTAGAAATGCTTCCTTTAAATATACTAAATCAGTGGTTTTCAACCTGGCTGTGTATTAGACTCACCAAGGGAGCTTTAAAAAAAATACAGCCGGATATCCAACTGTCCTTTGTCTTGTTTAGTTGCTAGGTGCCGTCAAATTGGCTCCAACTGAGTGACCTTATTTTTAACAGAAAGAAACATTGCCCTCTCCTCCACCATCCCCACAATCATTGCTATGTTTGAGCCCATTGTTGCAGCCGCTCTGTCAGTCCATCTGATTGAGGGTCTTCTTTTCCACTGTCCCTCTACTTTACCAAGCGTGATGTCTTTCTCCAGAGATTGATCCCTCCTGATAACATGTCCAAAGTAAGTGAAGCAAAGTCTCACCATCTTCGCTTTTAAGGAGGATTCTGGCTGTACTTCTTCCAAGACAGATGTGTTCATTCTTCTGGCAGTCCGTGGTATATTCAGTATTGTTTGTCAACACCACAGTTCAAATGTGTCAATTCTTCTTCAGTCTTTTTTTGTTTTTCATTGTCCAGCAATGAAGCAATCGAAAATCGCTTGTTTGTCAGTTCATTGTACTGGGGTGGCTTGCATGTTGCTATGATGCTGGAAGCTATGCCACCAGTCTCAAATACCGGCAGGGTCACCTATGGTGGACAGATTTCAGCAGAGCTTCCAAGTAAAAATGGCGTGGAGGCGGTGTCTGAGTTTTTCCAACCCCACAAAGGAGAAGGAGAACCAAGATCATCAGCCCAAAGCCGATTCCTATGAGGTGGAGGTCAGATACGCCTCCTCTCTCTGCCATCTTTACCAATTCTGACACCAACTGTCGCCCCCACAGCACTCTCTACTGGGTTCCATAATTCATTGCCATGGCCACACAGAACTCACAGACCATACTCGCAGTTATGGGGTTTATTAGGGAAGTAACAGTCATGATTCAGGCTCAGGAACACTCAGGATACAGTTCTTCCATCAGGATAGCCTTTCCCCAGCCAGGCTTGCTGGCACGCCTCTTCCTGGCCCTCAGTCTCTGCCCAAAGGCACTCAGCTTTCTCTCTCTGTGGGCTGGGAAGCCCTCCGTGCTGTCTCCTGCTGCTGGGTCTCTGGCTTTGGAGTTCCTCCTGCTGGTCTCTCCTCCGTTGGTGGTTGGGGAGTGCCATTCTTTGCTCTGGAATTGGCTCTCTTTTAGGGCAAAACTGACTAATCCTGAATGGACATGGGAAATCAGGGGTGGAAAGGAGGAGTGTGCTGTCACAGTGTAGGGAGAGCAATTAGGGTCACATAATAATGTATGTGTAAATTTTTATATGAGAGACTAGCTGGAAATGTAAACTTTCACTTCAGCTACAACAATAAACAAAACAAAAAACCGACCAATCCCCTTGGTGGCCCACAATTACCCTATCACACAGTCACCTGGGTGGGAGTTACAAGACCATGGCTAGAAAGGCCACCCACAAAAGTAATTAATCCACCGTATTCCAGACTAAGACAGACTATGAAAAAGGCCTGGTAATCTGCTTTTGAAAATTAGCCAATGAAAACCTTACAGTTAACAACAGAACATTGTCTGATATAGTGCTGGAAGATGAGCCCCTCAGATTGGAAGGCACTCAAAATACAACTGGAGAAGAGCTGCCTCCTCGAAGTAGAGTTGACCTTAATGACGCGGATGGAGTAAAAGCCTTTTGGACCTGTATTTGCTGATGTGGCATGACTCAAAATGAGAAGCAACAGCTGTAAAAATCCATTAATAATTGGAATGTGGAATGTATGAAGTATGAATCAGTGAAAATCGGCAGTTGTCAAAAATGAGATGGAACATTTGAAGATCAATAACCTAGGCATTAGTGAGCTGAAATGGACTGGTATAGACCATTTTGAATCAAATAATCATATGGCCTATTATGCCGGGAATGACAGACTGAATGGTTACGCATTCATTGCCAAAAAGAACATTTTGAGATCTATCCTGAAGTACAGGATAGATCTTGAAATTGATAGGATAATATCCATACACCTACAAGGAAGACAGTTAATAATGACTGTTATTCAAATTTATACACCAGTCACTAATGCCAAAGATGAAGAGATTCAAGATTTTTACCAACTTTTGGGAGTCTGAAATTGATCAAACATGTAATCAAGATGCATTGATAATTACTGGTGATTGGAATGCTATAGTTGGAAACCACGAAGAAGGATCAGTAGTTGGAAAATATGGCTTTGGTGATAGGAATGGTGCCAGAGATCATATGATAGAATTCTGTGAGACCAATGACTTATTCATCAGAAATAGTTTTTTTAATAACACAAAAGACATGGACCTTGCTGGATGGTTTATACAGGAATCAAATTGACTACATCTGTGGAAAGAGACAATGGAGAGGTGCAGTATTATCAGTCAAGACAAAATGAAGGGCTGACTGTGGAACAGACCATCAGTTGCTTCTGTGCGGGTTGAAGCTGAAGCTGAAGAATATTAAAGCAAGTTCAAGAGAGCCAAAGTATGACCTTGAATGCATGCCACTTGACTCTA